ACACACACACACACACACACACACACACACACACACACACACACACACACACACACTACTAAGTGCCTGGTCAATGGTGAGGAATTTTGGCCTGAGACCATGATTGGTTGTGGGGGTCTGGCAGCATGCAGCACCCTGGTAGGCTGAAGGAGAAAAACAACCTCAGATGGCAAACATGCACAACTACACGCACACACATGCACGCACACACATACACACACACACACACACGCACAGTACACCCACATGACTGCAGAGAGCAAACACTAGAAGAAGACCAGAGGCCTCTAGATGTGGAAGGTTGTTGTTGTTATTATTAGATATAGTTGGTTAATTATTGCACAGACCTGAGACATATTTGTACACAGGTTGACTGGACACGTGATGTGTTTAGAAATGTATGCATTGATTGATTAGTCGATTGGTTTGAGTTAAAGAGCTAAGGCAGAGAAGAGGAAGTCAAAATTTACCAAATAAGCGAAGGGCAGGTTATGGAGGGAAGTAAAAGGGAAAAGGAACTGAAACTTGTGCTTGACCAGTTTTTCTCTTCTGCATGCAGCCGGTGCGTGCAATGCACAGTGTTGGGATAATGTGGCTTTACTCGTTCAATCAGTGGCGTCCTGTCGTTGGAGGTGACAATCACACAATCCCTCCAGGGAAACATGACTGAGCGGCCTTTGACTTGTGATTTATTTTCTGTGCTTTGTCGAGTGCGGCAGGTTTTCATCACTCTGAAGGTGTGTCGGTGCAGGAGTGTTTTTAAAGGGGAGTTTGTTGGAGAGTTAAATATGATGCCCTACATATTTAAATATACTTTTACATGTCGTTAGACAACTCCCCCTCTGTCCTCACTCAGCCCCTTATCAGCTCTGTAAACACTGTTAAAACAGGCAGCAGAGCTCATGTGCTTAAAGTGACGCGATAAGAATCTTCCTGGAGCTCCACATTTCCACTGAACCGGCCTTTTCATGCTCTGTCCCTGGGGCTCTGTGAAAGAGAATGTGTGGTTCTGTGTCCCTGCCCTCTGCACAAAGCTCCACACAGGCCTGACAGGGTGGATGACGCACACACTGTGCACGTATACCTGCACGAGTGTGTGTTTGTCTGTCGATAGCAGTGTACAATTCTCTTTCATTCATGTATTTAGGCTCGTCTGCAGCTCTGATATAAGAGAGATGTCAATAATATCACTGATGGAACATGACTCAAATACATTTACTACTTTGCTCAATTACACTTTATAGACACATTAATCTTCATATTGCTTCACTGCAGTTAAGATGCAAAGGTTGTACTTTTGCTGCTGTGCCTTAATGTGACATGTTAAATATTGCTGCAGCTGTTTAAAAGATTATAATAAAAATAACCCATAGTACAATAACGTGTTGTTAAAATCAGCTCCAGATATTATGCTACGTAATCAAACTGTTGTGTACTTTTTAATGCATCGGTAAATACAGTCCAGTCATATAACAGACAGCAGTAAATATGTGTATGTGCTTTTACTGAAGTGTGAGTTTGACTGCAGGGGTTTAAGAGACGCTATGAAAATGATTGTTACGTGAACTAGGTCAAAACTCTAGGTAAACCCTCCTCTTCACATTTTACTCATGACAACAAAATTAACCAAACTATTTAAACCCTCTTTTAATCAGAATGGAACTTGTATTCATCCTTATTTAGGTGTATTACTCTTTATACACAGAAATTAATTCATATAAATTCTGAAGCTTAGTACCTGAAGCCTTTTGCTTACACCCTCTGCCTCCGAATAACTTCCCCTCAGTCTCTAACCTGTCACTGAATATTTGTCACTTTTACTTCAACACAGACACTAAATAGTGGTTTTGCACATTTTGATTTCCTTCCACGCCTTTATTTTACATATTTATACACTGTACTCAGCTGCATTACGACTCTGTAATTCCAACTT